ATTCATGCTAAAATCACACATAGCTTTTTTTTAAATAACCTGGCAGTATTAAAAATAAAAAGACTAGAGTCTGTGTTTTGTGTTTCAGAGAAACACATATGTAATGATTAGATTATAGAAAAGACTCAGGGCTTCTGGATTTGATCCACAATAGTGTATTTTTGTGGCTCAATGATTGAACAAAAGCTGGAACCTAGGCTGATATTGTGATACTTTCTCTGGTTTAGTTTAGTGAGTGGAAATGGAAATGTATGGTTCTTTCTCCCTTGTGCTTATTGCCCACTCTGTGTGATGCCTACCGCAGCACGACAGCGACATATCGGCTTACACTTATGAGCGTACCCTGATGATGGAGCAGAGGTCCCAGATGCTCCGGCACATGCGGCTTTCCAAAACAGAGCGGGACAGAGAGGTGAGACCTTCCTGCATCCATCGAATCCTGGTCCTGTGGAATCTGTCACTGAAAAGGATGATACTGTAATGTTCTCACACCCTGACAGAGTCTTTCTTGCTTGCTTGAATAGTCATTCCACTATAACCACATTTCAAAATAACTAAAGATGAAGTGTGAGAGAAAATTGGGTATAGAGTCATAGCTGTGTTGGGCTTTCCTCAGGCACAGTTGGTAAAAGACCGGAACTCAATGCTGCGATTAACCAGCATTGGCTCTGATGAGGATGAAGAGACCGAAACCTATCAGGAGAAGGTGCACATGACTTGGACAAAGGACAAATACATGGCATCCCGGGGGCAAAAGGCCAAGTCAATGGAAGGATTCCAGGACCTGCTTAACATGCGTCCGTAAGTTTTCCAACTCACAGGCTTATCACTTAACGTAGTATCCTAGGTAGTGCAATAGATGTGACTTTGCCTGGATACACAGGCTAGAATCTGTTCTCATTTCACCTCAGATCTAACCATCTACTATTTGCCTATGCATATCAGCTACCAATTAACACTGTACACAAACTAACCACCCTTCTTCCTGTCCATACTGTGCTCCTTGTATAAAACAAACACGGAATGAGAAAACCCACAATATCAGTATTATAAGGCAATCATTTGTTCATTACATTATTCATAATCAAAGCAAAAAAAGCTCTGTCTCAAGTTTTTTGAAGTTGACGATGTACCTAGTTTTCTGTTTGCCTTAACCACCTCTGTTTCTTCCTGCCACGCTCCCCTTCCAGGGACCAGTCCAATGTGAGGCGGATGCATACGGCAGTGAAGCTCAACGAGGTTATAGTTAACAAGTCCCATGAAGCAAAGCTGGTTTTGTTGAATATGCCAGGGCCACCTCGAAACCCTGAGGGTGATGAAAACTGTATCCTTTTTAAGAGCGGAACTACTAGTAGGGAAGATCTTAGCCAGCGTCTCAGATGAGACAGTAAGTAACTGTAAAAGTCATTTTCTATGACTTCCCCTCTTGAAGAGGGAAGATTGTTAAAAGCCTTAGGCAAAGATTCTTACTGAGTAGTGAGATTACTCTCCATTGGGGGAGTTGGGTGTAAGATGTTCTCTGTGAACCCTAAAGAGACTTTTTTAGGTGGTATATTTGCAACATGACTTCTAATGTTCAGTGTATAGACCTCTTTCTGACCATCCTAGAGATGGAACACCCACATCCTTTCTCCTTTCCAGGCTCTGCCCACTTCGCAAAGCCTTTCTCTTGGCTGGAATTACGAGAGACGTAATTGAAGTGGAACCTCCTCTGAGGGGAAAAGATAAGGGTTCTTCTTCATACCCTTATCCAGGATTGGTTTTTATGGACCCCTTTGGCACTGCAGTGGCATAGACTAGTCCATTCCCACCAGTACCATTAAGGAAATGAGGTTAAAAGAAAAAGAAAAAAAGAACTGGCAGAAAAATCTAACTTGAACAGCTTCTCTTGGAAATTACTTGGATTCTTTACAGGAATCTTACAAGGCTACCCTGTGGTGGCTTTTTCTTCTTTTGGGCTTATTTGCTATGTAGTAATAACACATTACTTGTGGGTTTACCCCATTTTAAAATAACATATAGGAAAGACTCTAAGAAATGGGAAAGAGTCCTGTATTATATATGCAAAGAGACTAGGTCCCTAGATTACTTCAGTTAAATTGAATCCAGAGTTCAGACTTCTCCAATTCTGAGTATATAATAATGAAAACAACTGTGTTGATTTGCAGCTTTGTAGTCAGATAAACTCAGATTTTCATGATGCAAGGTTGTAAAGTGTGCTCTTCTCCTGCCAATTTGTCTCCTTGACAAATTCTGAAGACATGGAGTTCCTAGAAGTGCTCACCGAGGGACTAGAGCGAGTCCTTCTTGTCCGAGGTGGTGGCAGTGAAGTGATCACCATTTACTCATAATCTACTTCTGAATGACTCTCCTTGGCCTCACCTTTCCAAAAAGGCTTCCCTCCTCCACAAAAGTGCCAGCTCTTTATTACCACTCCCATCAAGTAGAGACCTGTGTTCTGTACACATTGTGCTGAACTTTTAACGAGCTGAGTGAGACTCAAGTACTTGTGCAGGAAAGTACAAATAGATCTGCTCTCCGCTACCACATGATCTGCTATCCTTACAGAAGCAGCATATACTCCCTCAACACCAGAAGAATGCTCAAGTCCTAAAAGCCATGTCTGTACCAGTTGAAGGCAAGTTAGAATTAACATGCTAAACCAATAAAATGAATTGGTAAAAGGGATGCTGCGAGTTCACCTGAAGACAAAAAGCAAGTACACATCTAACAATAAGGATAAGTCTCAGAAGTCATGGTTCAATGATGACATCATGGGCGTAACAGCCAGAGACACAGCCTCATCATATTAAAGAATTCACGGCCAAGTATATGGGGACCTAACATCCTTGTGGAGATAACTGTGGCAAGCCAAAATGAAAATTTTCATTAGTGCATCCACTGCTCTCCAGGACTCTGATTTTATACATAGGGTACTAATATGTAAAAACTGAAACATGAAACTGCAGCCTCTACTTCCTCCAAAACAAGGTTCCCCCCAAATATGTTAAAGAACACACTGTTACTGTATATTTCAGCTGTTTCTCAAAACCTGTTCTGTGGTTAAGATTGTAATACAGGCACTGTTACCATAGAAACGGTTTTTTAAAAGGTGGGGTAAAAATTCTTTCTTTCAGGTTCTTTTCAAATGGCCAAACTAAGGGAACTCCAAAAGGTAGCTATCAAAATTTACATAAATACAATCTGGTTACCTGTGTGTGATGGGCATGATACACAAGCTGTTATCTAGGAAATATAAATGATGATGCATTTTGACCAAAAGCTTCTCCTTTCCTTCTCCCTTTATGTCCTCTGGGTTACAGGCACGGATCAAAATCATAGGAACAAACACTAGGAAGACTGGTTAAAATCCTTCCTTAAAAGCTACGGACTACCCTTCAAAGGGGGAATCCAGCAATGGAATTGGAAGTTGCGAGCCATACTCCCTCGATAGTGCCAAAGTTACTGAGCTGCTGCTGCTCTTCTTACCTACTTCACTAAAGTTGTAAAGCATACAGTTGGCGCTGGCGTGATTCAAGAAACTTCTTTAAGAAACCGGTGGACTCGTTTCCAAAGCCATAGTGAAGACCTGAGGCATACACCTCAGTGCTCAGAGTATGAGCATTTTTTTTCCTTTCAATTTTATTCTTCATCTTGACTGCAGAAACTTGGATCTGAACTAGACTACACAAGCCAACAGTCTTCTGCTATTTCAGTTTTATTTCAGAAAGCTCTAAATTTGTCAAGGAAATGCTTGTGCAAATTTATCTTTTTATTTGCTAACATAAGTATCGCAAAACACCTGGCTTTCAAGCATAAGGAAACCACCCTGTGTAGCTGAGTAGTAATTCCATATATGTGAAATCTTCACTTACTCTACAGGATAGGGTACTTACAGAAACTATCTTGCCTGTATTCATGGCTGCTTTTGAATTTCATTTTATTAATGATAAATAATGCCACTCAGTGATTACCAATAGGATATGGAGCAGGCTGACCTGCTTCATAGCCTGTAGACTATTCATCGGACCCTTAAGGACAGAGGAGAAAAACCCTTCATTACGGCTTAAGATATTGAGTCATTTGATTTATTCCCTTTGCTCTTCTTCCAACCTTCAGGCCAAGTCAGGTAGCAAAGCAGACAAGATCTTTTAAGTCTTTTTCCCTGCTGCTCTCTGCAGAGGGTAGAAGCATTGTTTACAACATTTACTGCAACACTCCATTGCTTAATTGAGTCCAGCAGGTCCCCTAGGGTCCAGGCTATTAAAGACTCCATGCTATAAAGGTCAGCCTGCCCAGGAATTCCTCTACATTTACACACACCCTCTGGAAAAAGTGATATTTGTATATTTTTCCATATAGAAAAAATACAGGCAGAAAATAAGGTTACTTTTAGAAGAGCTTTTTGTGGCTGGAGCTCTGTAAGAATCCTTTAAAAGGGTGGGGGAATTAGTGGCTACTAATACAGCCCTTCCCCTAATGCAATCACTGTTACATGGGGAACTAGTTACTAGGCCAGATTTAAACTCATCTCTGTCTAGAGCATTTCATGTCTATGTGTTGCTTATGTTGTCTGCAAAGTGTCTTGTCTCTTTTAATCACTGCAAATAAAGCAATAAGGAAAACTTGATGAGAAAATGCACCTTAGGGGAAGGGGCTTTTGTGTTTCAAGAAGGAAGAGAAAGGAAAGACCTCCTCCTGCTTTTTGAATGAGATCCAGCTTTTAAGTCTTAGCTATGACTTTGCCAGGGCAGGTTATGACAATATTCATTCTCCAACTGCTGGCCCTCTGCCCTTTATAGCTATCTTAAAGGCTTAGGTTTGAATTGCAGCATCTGTTTTGACAGGTGTCAGGTTCCTCTTGGCAGGGGAAAGATCACTACTTTGTATCTTCCGTTGCCTCAGATTCCTGTGGCCCCTAGTGATCCCCTCAATCCTCATTCCCCCTAAACGTGTTAAAATCCATTTTTTGTGGATATTAAAGTAGCAATTATACTGTATTTTATGTGCTTTTTTGGTCTGGTTTATTTTTCATCATGTATAATCTGAATCCAGCATTAGTTTCTCCAACCTTCCACAAGTATCTCCAACAGAATTTTTATGTCCCAGTTTGTGTTAAATAGAAGTGAAATATTAAGGAGAATAGATTTAAGGGAAACTTGTGAAACTTTTTTTTAAAGCATTGTTCTCAACCATTTAATTTATTAAAAGGAGATGCTGCTGTGGTTCTTGATTTAGCAACAACCATTCTTTTGTTTACATAGTTACGGTTTTATTTCTTGTTTTGCTCTATACTGGAAACATAAATAAAGTTTTCTACATTATTTTCAGTCAAGGGTTGTGGTATAATTTCTTGGTGTTTGTAGTGATTGTACATTGTCTTTCTAGGATTTGTCGCCTCACCATGGGGAAAAGAGAGCTTTTGGTTCTTTTTCAGTGAGTGATAACGTTAAGGGTTAGTATGCTGAGGAGAAGCCTCTAGGCGTCAATAAGGTAGTCAGTGAGATCCAAATACATAGGCACCACCTGCTCCTTTCTCACATTCACAAAAGCAGTCCTCCACCACTGAACTCCATCCTCTGAAACAAGAAAAAGTGAACAGGTGAGTCGTGAATGAGTTTTGAAATAACTTCCTGAATTAAGTACTTTAATCACAAGTTCATTTTGCTTTATCCTTAAAAAAATAACAACTTTCAAACGCCTAATGGATCTTATTTCTTAAGAAACGAGCTCTAATACCAACTCTGATCCTCCACCATCAAATGGGCCGGCTATTGACTGTGCATTACAACTGCCCAAAATTTAACTTTCCCTTTGCCTTACCTCAGGGGGCTCAATGAAGGCTAACCAATCTGATGCATGTGTAGGCAACAGTCCCATTGACTGGCACTTATAAACAGCCAGTGCCAAACCCATAAGGTTCCCAATGAGATACACCAAACCCTGAAGAAACTTCTGGCTTGAACTTTCTAGCATCTTGAAAGCTGTTGGGATAACAGGAATTGTCAAAAACCAAAATTCAATATGAATCAGGCTATATATTAAAATAATATAAATAATACAGTCATATAGTAAGACAACAAATAGAACCATTAAAGGTGAACAAAACACCATGATGAGCACTATTTCCCCCTCCATGTCACCACCACTGCCATCACCACCCTGCACACACTCCCACTGCAACTAGCCGAGAGCTGGCTGTGCCAAAATTTCCAATACAGGTTTTGCCTAAGAATTTGCCTTTGATTCTTAAAGCTTAAGGAAGGGTTATTATTTTAAGAATACTTACTGGCTGAAATGGCCATGAGTGCCTGAATGGGTCTCCAAGCCATCATACACACCATCATAGTAGGGAAGATGGAGATAGTATTGCCCGCCATGTACATTATGAAGAGGTTCATGGGAATTTGTTTCAGGGGACCCAAGGCAATGTCCCAGCAGCGCTAAAACAAACACAGTTTTAGCCTCTGATCACTATCTGAGAACATATTCCCACATTTATCCTATCACTGATGTTAAATCAAATGAACACAACTCCCAATTCTGTGCTTTTGGCTAAGCTGAATCCTCAATTCCACAACCTCTGCCCTTCTCCCACTTTGCCACAGGAAGCTTGCTCTTCTACTAAAGACAAGGCATCCTCACCATTTATGTTTTTCTCCATGGGCTTTCCAGTTGTCATTTTCCCCCATGACTTCAGCTAAAGAAAAGACTTCCCTACTTTTCTTATATCTCTGCATCTATCATTGTCCCATCTACAAGTGAAGAACTGGATAAATCCACATACTAGGAGATTAGCACACCTCAGTAACTAATAGAACAATCAAATCAAGATAAGATCTGAGTGCCATTATTAACTTAACCCAACTGACACAGGGAACATTGCACCCAACAGTTGCAGAATTCACATTCTTTTCAAACACACATAGGACATTAACAAAAACTGACCACTTACTGAGCCATGGAGAAAGTTGTCAATAATTCTCAAAGAACTCAAATCACACAAAGCATATTCTTTAATTATAATGCAATTAGGCTAGAAATCAGTAACAAAAGGTAACTAGAAAATACCCTATGTACTGAAACTAATAAATGTACTTAAATGATCAATTAACCAAAGAAGAAATTACAATGGAAAATAGGAATACTGTTAACTGATAACAAAAATACCATATATTAAAAGTGCAGAATATAGAGCTTTGAGAAACTTACACCTTTTAAATACATGTTAAAAGACTAAAAGTATCTAAGCATCTATTTCAAGAAATTAGAAAAAGTAAATTAAATGCAAGGAAATTAAAGGAAAGGAAATCAGAATAAGAGCAGAAATTAATGAAATTTCCCTTAAATCAACAAAGCCAAAGGTGTTCTTTGAAATGATTAATAAAAGCAAAACTGGTGAGCCTGATGAATAAAAAAGGAGAGAAATATTCAACAGCAGGAATGAAAAAAGGGATATCGCTATAGGTCTTGCAAGTGATCATATTATAAATTTGGGGAAATGGTTAAATTCTTAGAAAAAAATATGATGTACCTAAATGGCATAAGAAATTGGAAATTTAAATAGTCTTACAACTTTATAATATACCACTGTCCACTGGGGTTTATTCACATAAAAAAATAAATGGCCATATCTGTAAACAATTCCCTAACATGTCATTTATATAGACCATTTATCTGGGAGTTTAAATATCAAATCATTCATACAACAGAACTGTTCCAAAATATTTTATGATAATTACCTTTAAAATCAGGCTATTTTAATAGCACTTTACTATCATGTATTATTCATGTTACACTTCAATGCCAAGATGAAAAATGATAGGATAGTTATCAAGAAAATTAACAGCTCAGTCATTTTCATGTTGTGAAAATCATTGTTTCTTTTCAATTGTTTCTGTTTTTGTTTTTGTTTTTTTGTGTGTGGGGGGTTAAATAGGTTTACTTATTTATGTTTAGAGGAGGTACTGGGGACTGAACCCAAGACCTTGTGTGTGCTAAGCACATACTCTACCACTTGGGCTATACCCTCCCCCCCTAAAATCACTGTGTTTCATAAAACAGAGATCATTTAATATTGAACAATATTAAGACTGGGAGGAAAGAAAGTGCCAGACACTGTTCTAGGCACTTGGAAGTCAAAGTCTTGCTCTCGTGGTGCTTACAAGAGTGAAAAGAGAAGTAATAATAACACACACATATATATATATCATTCATATATGGAGAAATATAAGTGAATGAATGATATGGAGAAATATAAAGTAGGAGAACAGGATAGGGAGTGCCATGAGGGTAGGCTTCACTAAGAAAGTAACATTTGAGAGACCTACAAGGGATGAGACCAGCAAGTCATAAAGGTATCTGGGAGAAGAGTATTCCAGGAATGGGAAGAACAAGTATGAAAAGTTTGAAATAGAAGCTTGCCTGGCATATTAGGGAGCAGCAAGGAGCCCATTCTGACTAGAGGGGTGAACAAAGGGGAAAGTGGTAAGAGATGAAATGGCTTAGACCAGGATGATAGATTAAAACAATAAGAAGTCAGATTTTGAATCTATTTTGAAGGTAAAACCAACAGACTAACCTGACAGACTGGTTGTGAGCTATAAGGGAACTAGGGTAGAAAAAGATGACTTCATCTGGAACGCGATGCCACTACTTTCCATTTTCAACCTACCTTCTTACACCTTATGTCCCAATATCTTTTATTTTTCCATTAATTGAGCATTTCTGGAGCTATCTCAACTAATGTAACACCAATCTCAAGCAGTTTAGCTACCAAATATTCAGGGTAAGGGCCATCTACAGTAAGATATTCATATGCTGCCTGGGAGAGGAGGGTGGGTGTGTAGGTCAGGACTGGCCCAAGGACTACGGTGACATCTATACCTCTGTACCTTCTCCACTAGGATCCGGTCTGTCTCTTGCACGCTGGTATCAGGCACTTGCTTGTCCAAGTAACCAACCGGGTACAGCGAGTCTCCCTGGCCACCGCCCCGGTCACTTCGGCCCCTAGAGACCAAAACCAAGAAACTGAGGCCGCAGCCTCGCACATTTCATATCCCACATTACCTGTTCTTATCATAGGAATAAAGATCCTCAGATGCAGCTACCGAGATTACACCAAGCCCCCTCATGGGTTCATCAGACCCTTGTCTATCGTGAAGAATGAAATAACCATCCTTTGGATACAGAAACCTCCACGAGAGAGAAGCCGCTAGCTCCCCAGGAGTCGCCTTTGTGTCACCCATCCTTTTCAGAGAGTTGCGCCTGAAGGCTCAGGTCCTATGTCTTTGGGGCAGTTCTGGGGTGAAAGCTCTGATGTCGAGCTCGCCCCGGCTCCTCACCTGCTGCCTCCTCCAGGTCCGCTCAGCTCAATCGCCCACTTGAAGCGCCGGCCTCGGTTGGCCACCAGGCTCCCCTGGGCCGTCATGGCAACGGCCGCCAACCAAAGCTGCCAAGACCCCGACTCTAAAGCGTAGCGGAGTCTCAGGCCCACTAGCTTCCGCTACTTCTCGGGCTCATTCTGCAAGTCCACTTCCGGCGCGTAAGTACAGACGTCACTTCCGCCCCGGAAATTTTCCGGCGGCAGATCGGAAAGAGTACTGGGAGCTACAGACCCTGGAAGGAGAGAAAAGCGGGCGGAACGCAAAGGTTCCTCAAGGGACCCCCCCGCGCCTTCCCTCCTTTCTGAGGAGGGCTGTTGGGCGTTTCCTGATCTCAGAGGTGTGCTTTATGGGGCAAGGGGAAAGGCCATTCTGACTGCGTTAGGAGTTGAAGCCATGAAAATCTTCTGGAGCTCCACTGAGCTCCCGGGAACACAAGATTCAAATCTCTGTTTAAATCTTTCACCACGGATTGTGTGACCTTGAGTGAATTATTTAGTGGTTTCTGAATGTTGAATGTCCACCGTGCGCCAGACACTGTGTTTATTATTTCATTTAATTCTCTCAGTAACCCTGCGAGGTAAATAATCATCCCGCATTCTGCGCAAAATCTAAGAGGCAATGTGGGCGTAGAAAGGCGCTTTGGCTCAAGATTTGAATCCTGGCTTCAGTACTTAGTTGTGTGACCTTGGGCAAGGTAAAGTCTGTTTCAAACGTTTTCGTATGTGACAACTGCGTAATCTACCTACTTTCAAGGCTTGTGAGGGTAAATGGAGGAGTGCTCACCACAAATGCATGACGTGTTTTTTAAATTATTAAAAGTTTGTTTAGAGGGAGGTAATTAGGTTTGTTTATCTTTTTAATGGCGGTACTGAGGATTGAACTAATACATGTTAAGCGTGCACTCTACCACTGAGCTATAGCTATATCCTTCCCCCCTGTTTTTTTAATGTCATTGAATCATCTCCAACAATATTCGTAGCAACTGGGCTTTTGTATTCAGTTGTATACCTGTATTGTAATTTAACTTATTATTGGGTGTTTGTTTCCTGTTTTTTCCCCTGTTTTATAACCGGTGTTGCTGTGAACATCTTTGTACGTCTTATTTCCTTAAGTGAAATTCCTAGAAATGCAAATTGCTGGATTAAAGAAATGCACGTTTTTAAGGAATTTTCGCTTAAAATTGCCCACTAGGAAAATCGCACCCATTTACATTCTACCAGCTTCACAACTTTTTTAAATTGCCAGTTTGAAAATGGTACTGTATTATTTTTTAATTTGTATTATTTTAATCCAAATTATTTGATGGGAGGGAGTGCTGTGGTGGGGAGGTAATTTTGAAAAAGGGCCTCCTTGACCAACTAAAGACTTTGGACCCCTGAAGATGAT